CTGGATGGAGGAGGGAGGACCTTGGACTTCCCACAGGGCTGGGAACCCTGACTGCTTTTATTACTAGAGAGGAAGGGGGAGGTGGGGAGGGGGAGGGAAAAGGGAGGCGGGGAGGAGGTGGAAATTCTTAATAAAAAAAAAATGAAACAATCAAAAAAAGAAAAGAAACAGACCTATGATATATGAACAAGCATGTTAGACAAACAGTTTAACAAAGCAAGGAAGGTCCACCTTGGATGTGGGTAGCACCATCTCATGACACACACCCTGAACAGCATAAAAGAGAGAAACAATAAAAAAGAAAGAGACTTGTATACAAGTGTTCATATCTCTCTGCTTCCTGACTGTGGATGCAATGTGAATAGCTGCTTCGGACTCCTGTTACATGATGTCCGCACAAGGATGGACTGTACCCTCAAATGTGATGATGTCCACACAACGATGGACTGCACCCTCAAATGTGATAATGTCCACACAAAGATGGACTGTACCCTCAAATGTGATAATGTCCACACGATGGACTATACCCTCAAATATGATGATGTCTGTACAACAATGGACTGCACCCTCAAATGTGATGATGTCCACACAACGTTGGATGCACCCTCAAATGTGATGATGTTCACACAACGATGGACTGCACCCTCAAACTCTGACAATGTTCACACAACGATGGACTGTACCCTCAAATGTGATGATGTCCACACAACAATGGACTCAAACTATGAGTCAAAGAAAACCCCTTTCTTGCTGTAGTTGCTTCTGTCAGGAATGTTTTACAACAATGAGAAAAGTAACTAATGCAATAGAAAATGTCAGTTTAAAGACAATACATTGTGGTTATGTTCTAAAACCAATTTTACTTTAGCAATTTACAAATGGCTAGTTTATATGTACAAAAATGGAAACAAATTTTTTTTTGATGACTGTCTAACTCTATGCTGTACCAGAGATATCCTTATATAAAGAAGTGCTGTTATACAAGTTGTGAATGAACGTATAAAAATGTACACCATTTAATATATATTTGTATATTTTAAAAATTAAGAGTGCTGTCTAGTTAGCATTTTGCCAACTTGATACAAACTAAGGTCATCTGGAAAGAGGGAAATTCAGCTTTGAAAATACCTCTATCAGTTTAATCTTTCGGTAAGTCTGCATAAAACATATTCACTAGACAAATTAATATAGTGTGATTATTGTTGTAACACAGAAATACAGAAACAGATCTTGTAAAAGGAGAACCTAATATTAGATCTCCTTTTGTCTCTAGCAAATAAAAAATCAGAATCTAATATTTAAGATAAAATATCAACAAGTAGTATTCCCTGGTTTCTTGCTAAGTGTCAGACATTATACTAAGGAGTCAGCAACTCACCATCTGTTATTTGTTTATACTCTTCAGAGCAAATTCATTAGCCAAGCCTTATTATCCCCAGTTACATATGGTGGAACTTAGAAGTAGAGAAGCAAACAAACTGTCTGATGTTCCGTCATTAGTAAATAGTATCGCTAAGATCCCGTGAGTCCTGGAGGACTTTTGGGGACAACAATTGCCAAGAAGTACAGAGGTTTTTAAAGAGAGTTGTTAAGCAGATTTAAGCTGATGTGGGTAACATTATGTAGCTAGAATGACACACACTGTAAATGCTTAGATGCGCAGCCTTTGAACAAATGGAGTAGAGGAAAACTGAACCAAATTACCGGTTTGGAGACACACTCACACTAATGTTTATGACTTGGTTACTAACCAGTTTTGGAACTTTATTCAAGTCTGAAGGCCTTTGAATTATTTAGCCTCAAAAGATGATTGTAATATTTAACCGTGTTGGCATTACTGAATGTTAGAGGTAGAAAGAACATGAGAGATTAAAGATCAGAGATCCTGACCCACCCTGATCCTTGACTATCAGGAACTACTTACCATTAGACCCCCCTTACCAAGATCCTGGAAAGCCCACAGGCTTTTTAGTGAATTCAGATTAATACTGTCAAACAAATGAGGTCTGGTCCTAGGTTAAGGTTCAGAACACAACCTTTGGATTTTGAGTTCTCTAGAGGGACAGAGGTTTAGATAAATTTCCTTTGTATCTTTGAAAGAATCAGTGCCCAAGAAAACAGAATTTCTGCAGACTTCAGCTCTTACCACAGAATCTCTGCTGGTGGCGGTGGAGTTCAGTAACTGTAGCTCAAAGCACAGCAACAATTAAAAAATAGCACGGCATATTCAACATATCAAACCGCCCTGGCCTCCAAGGTCTTCCTCAGTCCCTATCTGTTGGGTAACCTTCCTGGCTGTCATACCTTAAGCCCTACCTAAAACTTCTCCAGCCCAGGGGCTGGGCTATCCTCTCCCCCAGCTGCCTTTCCCTTTATAATCCAACCATTTTGGTTCTCTTCCCCTTTTTATATACTCCTCTCTTCTCTCTCCCTTCTTCTTTCTCCTCACATGGCTCAGGGGCATGTCCACTTTGGATTCTCCCAGAAGTCACTACCCCTGGATGTATTCTCCCTTTTATCTACAATAAACTTTGTCTTTTGCCACACCTAGAAAACAGTCACGTTTCCTTTACCTTTTATTTCTTTTTTTTCATCCAGTGTCTTTATACTCTGCTCCAGACCACGTTCAGGAGTGTCTCCAGTCACCAATCATTTAAAAACCAGTTCACAATTTTGACTTCTTTATCACTCTGCTACTTGAACACTGAGCTTCTTTAGATCAGAGACTGTCTCCTTTGCCTTCTCCTCAGCTGGTGCCCTGCCTCATTGCTGTCCCCATCCCAGGGTAATTCTTGTGGAACAGGTTTATGATCTGCTCAAGTTTTACTGAGAATATAGTCAGTCCAGAAATTTCTTTCCTAAAGCTCAGTTTCCCACTTTCTATAGTTTCCTGATTTATTGCCTTTAGACCCCATTTGTTTGGAAGCGGTAGTTTAATTCGGCAAAGACAAGTGGTCTCCAGAGATGAAGCTGAGAAGGAGGACATCTGGGGACAGTTACCCACAGTGTCTGAGGCTTGCAGCCCAGTGCCCTGGGGCCAATGTCACACATTGGTCCCACTTCTTCGGTGTCTGGTTGCAGAAGGCAGTTTCTACTCTACTTACAGGCCTATAGGCAGGTCTCCTTTGGGGGTCAGGATTACTGGGAATACTAATTAATTCATTAGTGGGGTTGATGGATTATCAGTCTGTCTCCTGGCAGAGGGGCGTGGGGGCGGGGTGTAACAGATTGTTGCCCATAAATCTGCCTGTTGCCTCTCTTTTCTCTCTCAATGGTTCCTAGTGTCAGGCCTGTAGGCCAGCAACTGAGTGCTGGTCTGGTCTCCTTTTCCATACTCAGCAGATGGTTCTAACAGGTTACCTCAGAGCTTCACAAAAAAGCAATAGAAAGAGAGGGAAGGGCTGTGGATTGGCCCTCTGGCCTAGGAAACACGGGGGAGGAGACTGAATGCAAATACCCTTTATTCTCTTTTCCTGAAGGCTGTCACCATCCCCTCCCCTTTGCTGATTGCACACCCTTCCTGACCCTTCCTGCCCTTTCAGAGTTCAACAGCCAACCCCACAACTGTCCAGGAGTTTTGAGAGCAACCCCAGCGAAATGGATTCCACCCACTTTTTCTGGGGATTAAAAAAAAAGCAATAAAGAAAACTCAGTGTCCAGCACTCCCTCTGCCACTACACGAGTACGCACATGCACATACACACACCACACGTGCACACACACAATTGAATGTATTTTGTGAGCTAATCCTCTTATGTTCAACTCCTTACATCTGTCAGAAGAATCAAGGGGTCGGGCACAATGCTCCATCTCCACCCTCATCTTTGTCTCAATATGTTCACCTTTCTGCTAATATTCTACGCCTCCCCTCCCACAGTAAATCTCACCAGCAGGATGCCATGTCCAACAACAACTTTTTAATATCCAGGGATATGTCTTTAAAGACACAAATCGGGAGACCAAGCCATCTGACAAGCATTCATTTAGAAATTATTAAAACTTCTCTATCTGGAGGCAAAGTGTCTCATATATAACCTTCCTCTGGCTGAGGAAGGCGTTCTGATGTTTTCCAGAAATTTACCATACCGATCATGTATTGGTTAATTTCTCAAAAAATTAAGTTTATTTTGCTGACCAGATAGCTCTTGGATAAGAAAACAAAAAGATTAGTGGGAACCTTAAAAATTTGCTGAAAATTATTAGTTGTCTATAAAAACTGGGGGGAGGGAATAGTTCATTTTCTTTTCCTAGTTTTCTATGAAGGCCAAGAGTCACAACATGCCTGTGTCAGAGTTTTAATATTAACTATTTCAGACCTAAGATAGTCTTTAGTTACGCTGGTAATAAAACTATCGTTTGGGGCCAGAACTTCAAGGGTTTTCACATTTGCTTTTGTTTTTGTAAATGTCACACGACAGAACAGCACAGTAAATATGGTTATGACAGGAATGTGCTTGTTATGCTGAAAAGGGAGACAGAGACTTCCTCCTTTTACACTTAAAGCTCTGAGAGAAAAGCAGGGGACTTAGCTTAGTGGTAAAGTGTGAGCTTAGTATCTACAAGAAACAGAACCTCTGAGAAAAGAACAACAAACAACGAACACCCCCCACACGCTTACTGATACTGCATCCTTGCTGTGCAGTTTTCTTACGTTTTAATTCTTTTTAGGAGCGGGCCAGCAGCCTCCCCCACCCTTCTAGCTTGCTCTCCAAGTCTGTCTCCAGTTTTCTGATTTCCTTCTGTGCAGCCTGCTCGACTGCACAGAGTCTTGTGCTTTTCAAACCACAAGCTTTTTCAGTTCTCTCGATTTTCACCCCCAACTTCAGCCGCTCTCCTCCTCTAGCCCTTTCCTCTTTTCAACAAAAACAAACACGCAGTGGCAAAGCTGGACCTCCTCAGAGGAGCCCTGTGAAGGAGGTGGGTCTGTAGGCTGAAAGGGGAGGGGCTTGCCTGTGGGCCACATCACCCCGCCCTGGTCAGCTGCCAGAGCCATTAAAACGGCTTCAGGTCAGAAGCTCCAGTCAGATCACAGGAGCTGCCCAGAGACTGTGGTTCTGAAAGAGCTGTTCAAGGGAGCTAACCGGGGCCAGGAGGTACTGAAGAGACTTGGGAAACCAGCTTTGGTGGAGGCGCCAGCCCAAAGGCGTCCTGGGGATGCATCAGAACTTCAGGAAGAAGTAGAATAAGTAACAGCCAGGGGACCCAGACCAGGAACAGGCACTAGGAGGGAACTACCGGCTTAATATGGAAGGCTGAAAGCATCCCCTGTCTCCCACGATCGGCCTTGTTAGGGTGGATTTGGCTGCTCTGACTGTCTTCCAGAACACAGATTAGAGTTTAATCTTGGAACTCCACTGCCTAAGGTGAGCCGATGGGTGGGGTGCGGGTATTAAAGTTTCTGTGTGAAGTCCCCACCGATTCAGAAGAGAAGAGGCTGCGAATGACTCCTCTGTCCCCGTGAAGCCCAACCTTCCATCTGAATAATGCTAAAAGGCTGCAAAAGTTTAGCTATTTCCCCAAAGTGGCTTAGAAAGCAAGTTGAAGAATTGGCCCAATTCATTGGTCTGCTGATGAACCTCGAGGTCTAGGCGAAGAGTGTAGGGAGAGGAAGCAGAATAGAAATCAGATAAGTAGAGGGAGATCTTGGAAGGCCACAGGCAAAGATTCTCATCACTTCTCACTTGCTTTGCCAAAAGTTTTGAATAGTTTGAATGGAATGGAAATGTTCCCCACCCCCAGCTATTTGAGATTGTAAATTAGAAGAAAATGATTGTCCAAGTGTGTCTTTCCTCTTCTGTCATATACTCATCACTTTCATATATATATATATATATATATATATATATATATATATATATATGCACATGTATATATATATATTCTAAAAATACTAACAAATGCAAATGACCCCATTTTAGTTTTTAACATAGTGAAGAACATGGAGGGAAAACTGGAAAATTGTTTAAATTCTGCTAAGGAAGCTCACTATTACGGTCCGAGGCTATAGAAGTCAATGAAATACAGTATGTCCTTGCTCCCCACCACTGTATATGTGTGCGTGTGAGAGAGAGAGTGGGAGGGAGAGAGAGCACATGCATAGTTATTAATCAATGGGGAATTGTAGTTAAAGATATAAAAGCTTGACTAGGAAGGACCCACCAGCCTACTCATTGATTCGATGCAGTACCACTTGTAAACACCTTGATTTGTGTTTTGTTTTATTTGTTTTTTAGTTGCAGGCTGCATAGCTATGAGCAAAACATTTAGTTTATGTGTTCCTTAAATTCTCTAGAAATTAGTCTAGATATTTGATTCCTATTGATTTAGAGTCCCACCATCAGGAGGTAATCAAGCACCATGGACTTTTAAAGGGAAAGATATTAGCTAGCCTACCATAAACACACATAAATACTTTACACTCGCTCTTCAATTAAACTTCTCCAAAATATATGGCAATTAGAAAAGTATAGGAAGAATTCCATGACAGCCCTATGTAGTAGAAGGGCACAATGATTGTGGTCTCATCAGCTAAGATAGTGTGCAGTCAGAATTGTCGATGGCAAATACTTCTTTTCAAGAAAGGTTTAAAGTGAAAAAAAAAGGTGAGAATAAAATTTTAAAATAGAGAAAATAACTCAAAAACTGTCATTTTATTGAAGGAAATAAATAGGAAGATCCTACGCAGGTGTTTTGGGAAACCCAAATACTAATACCAAAGACAAAAATGGACTTTATAAGATCAGAACATGTTTGCACATGTTGGGAGATAGGAGAATTCTGTACTCAAAAGCTCATATTCATAAATACATTTTAGCCACATTGGCATCTGTTTCCTGTATATTTTGAAGGCTAACTTCTCTTCTAGAAATGGAGAGAAATTTGATATGATTTATCTCTATGTTCTATGTGGCAGTACCATGGTCTTTCATATTCATAGACTATCTACAAAATATTAAAACATTTTTTCTATGTTCATCTCATACTTTAGGGACAAGAACACATCTTGCTTTCATGTTCCTTTCAGGACACCTCTGAGGTAGCATGTTAACAGTATAAAGGCCACAAGAGTTTAGTTCCTTGCTCTGAAGAGGATCCACTTAAGTTTAATTTGTTAAAAAAAACAAACAGGAATGCATTACACATTTTCAACATTCCGATCTGAAACTGAGTTGTCTTTGTCAATCTTGTGATGCCTTGAGAGTATTAAAGGTAGAAAAATAGAAAGTAAATTTTATCTTTGGAGATTTCTGTTTTTTACTTCTGTTTATGAGATACTTCATTTTTTTCTCTGGAGCTTGTGGAAAAGTTGTATTCCTCATACAGAAAAGCAAAGGTAAAAGGGTCTGAATTGATGATGGTGTGTGCATTCCACTAGAAACTTTATGAATATGTAACTAAGAATGAATGTCAAGTCAAATGTCTTTATGAAATAGAATCTTTTCTCTTTAACCTTCCTTTTCTCATCTCTACAAATACAAACTGAATAAAAATTTGGAAACTAATTTCATGTCTGACTGTAGAGGCATTTGATAGAACTCAATATCTTCATCCATTCCTTTGATATTTAGCCTCATTGGCATACAGGGAAAGTAGGAATTTTTCAAACACTTTAAAACAAAAACTGAAATAGACCAGTAATTTTCATTGTCATGAAATTAACATATAAGCATAGATTATAGTTATATGTACCTACTATTGTCATTGTGACTCATGATGCTTAGGAGTAATCATATCTCACACTTAGGTTGAATTTGTGACACCTGGCACTAATCCAAAGCTTATATATGTCCACTCATTTTACGCTGAGAATTATCTGTGAGTTAGGTCTATTATTATCCCATTCAAGGAGGAAAACATTAAGGCAGATAAAAGTCTAAGTCAGAAGTCTAGTAAGTAGTAAAATTGAATTTGGACCCAGTCAATCCGGCGGCACAGTGTATGCTGTCTAGTCCGGTTGAGAAGGGAAGAATATGGGGCAGTTATCAGATTTACCTCTGGACCAATCAGGTGATGTGGCATTCAGATAACAAGAGACACCAACGAATACATTGCATTTTATTTATTCATCTGTGAGAAAATTTTAATTTTGAATGAAGAAAACAAATGAAAGATTAGAATAGACTTTCAAAATTTCAAAAATAAACACATGGACCTTGTTTTACAACATTATACTTTGGCATGATTTTGTCTTATGAGAAGAATGTAAAATATATCTTAACTTTATACTATCAAAAAGAATGTAATAAATAAAACTGGGATTAGGAAGCAGGAATTGAAAATTCTGGGAGAGAGTTCCATCCATACTTTTCTAGTCACCACGGTTTTGAAGTCACGTTTGTATACCTACAGAATTATCTTAGAGCTAATGGACAAGTATGGATAGAAACAGAGGAAACTGAACCAGAACCACCCCTTTTCTTTTCATAGTTGGTAACAGACAAAAGGTGAAATCTCATTGTTTTGTTTTGTTTCACATTGTTTGGCCAAATCCAGTCAGTTCTTTTCCTATATACCTATCACCAGTATGATTTTAAACGGCTTCTTAAAATCACCAAATAAGTTAAAGACTAAGATTGGTCAACTCTATCTTTATATTCTATTTCCTGGTAGGGTGCCTGCTGACATGTCTAGCGAGATCGAGCAAGACTTAGGAAATGTAGAGAGATGGCAGGAAGGAAAGACAAGAACAGAAGTGAGAACAGTGCTTGGATCCTGCTGCATCAGGTAGCTCTTCTCTCTGTCAACTTCCTTCTCCCCATGCACATCAGCAAGACACAGTGCAAGGCAATGATTCTAATGAAGATGGGGAAAAGAAGAGGAGGAAAAGGAAAAGGGTACAGAAGAGGAGAAGGATAGGATGAATAGTCAAAAGCAGCAAAGAAAGCCTTTGAGAGAGGACTGAAGCCTAGAATATGAGAGTTAAAAGCTGCCTCAGAACTTCTAAGCCAGCATTCACTGGATAATGGTCATGCCTATTGACTTAGCTCTACTGATCTATCTACATTTGCTAAAGTAATTTTTTTTTCTTTTTTAGCTATGGTGGAAAAAATGAGGAAAAGGACTGTAAAACCTAGGATTTGAGGTCAGAAATATTTTTATGTCCTGTTATATTGTGTCTTTACATGTCCATCACTTAGAGGACCTGACCGATGGTGCTGCTGGCTCTAAACTGAACAGGGCTGTACTCATTGCCCTCAACAGTGTGCTCTATGGAATCCATAGATTAATGAGTGTAAAAGTGCTGCAAACTTTAGAATGCTACACAAATGCTATTGTAATTACACAGAGAGCATTAGGTTTCCCAAGCCCACCCTACCCTTTTTAGTCTCAGCATGCACCTGCCTCTGGAAGATCTGTGTTACTTTAACAGAAAATTAATTAGATCCTTACCCCTCCCTCTGGATATTTGCCTGAGTTAGAAGTGCAGCTCAGCACACAAGCTTCATCATCCATATTAAAAGTGGGATTTTCTGCCTTGGCCTGGGCAGCCGGTTGACCAATAGGTTCCAATGTGTATTTTCAATAAAGCTGCTTACCCAGGAAGCCTTATGAAGTGAGTAAGTCAAGCTGACATGATTTCCTTGCTGATTAATATGAAACCTAGTCTGTTTTCGCAATTCAGTAACATTAATTATTTACAGGAGGTAAATGAGGTTACAATGAAAACAAGCTCCAATTACCAGAAACAATTCAAATCATATTTTAATATTTTTGTAAACTCCAGGTACTAATCCCTGAATTCATTGACTGGAGACTCCAGCTTCAAAGATCAAATGACATGTTATCATGTTTTTCCCTTTCTCATAATGAAAGGTGAGGGAGGGTTTAATGTTTCAAAGACTAGCTAGTAAACTGTGATATCCCAGTGGGTTTATCAGATTCTTTTATCTGGTAACCTGTATACCTAGAAATAACCCAAATGATCTGAAAACAGTTCAAACTCTTGTAATATCCAATGCAAGACATTTACTAAATAACTAGTCTCTATTTTTAATATAGTAAAAATTTGCACGTAACCCAAACCAAACCGTATCTGTTAGGCAAGTGAGTTGAAGTGTTTTTTCTGTGTTTACCCAAAATAGCCCCATGGTATGCTCAGAGTCACCATGTTCTCTTTTGTTTTATATTTGTACCATTTTTTCATTTTTAGTGAAGGGTTTTCTGACTGTTTCATTAGAACAGTCTTGAATAGGTTTAGTAGATAACTGACTTCTGCATCTAGATGTTGTCATGGTCTTTCTGATGGTGTGAAGTACATGTGCAAAGGAAAGAGCTATCAACACATGGACATGTTTGATAGATGACCAGTGGCAGCTTTTCTTCATGGCCCCTTCAAGATGCTGTGCCACTAGAATATCTGACACCCCTTAGCCCTGAGAGTACACAGGGTGCTTAGGAAGAAACACAGTGCTCTTCTGGACATGAAGCAGGCCAGCCAAGATGGTCCTATTTTATAGGAGGTGCTTGAAGTCACCTGTTAGCAGAGTCAGTGGGGAATATGGGATTGTACAAGCCAAACGCACGTGAAACATCTCTAGAGAACACAGGAAGGTAGTCTTGATTGCTATAGCATTTCATTTATTTTATGGTAGAAACTCAGAACAGTTTGCTTAACTGTTCAATATATATTTTATTTGGAAATAACATTTATTTTTATACTATATAATTATTTAAAAATCACTTTTCACTTTCAGCATTTTTTATTTATTATTTGTTTATTATGTTTTACTTTTTATTACATCCAAGCTGAGGTTTCCCCTCCTTTTACTCATCCCAGTCCCACTGCCCCCCCTCCACTTCTCTCCTCTTTTTCCTTTAGAAAAGAACATCTCCCAAGGACATCAACCTGACATGGCAGAACAAGTTACAATAAGACTAGATACAAACACTCAAATCAAGGCTAGGCAAGGCAATCCAGTAGGAGGAAAAGGGTCCTAAGAGCAGGCAAAAGAGTCAGAGATACCTCCTTCTCCCACTGTTAGGAGTCTCACAGTAGCAACACGCTACACAACCATAACATATTTGCAAAGGACCTAGTTCAGACCCATGCAGGCTCTGTGATTGTTGCTTCAGTTTCTGTGAGCCCTATGAACCCAAATTAGTTGACTTTGTGAGCCATGTTTTTCTAGTGTCCTACACTGCTCTGACTCCTACAGTCGTTCCTCCCCCTTTTCTGTGGGATTTAGCAAGCTCTACCTTATGTTTGGCTGTGAGTTCTCTGCATCCGTTCTCATCAGTTGCTGTATGAAGTCTGATGAGGCATCAACCTGTGAGTATAGCAGAATATTATTAGGAATCATTTCATTGGTTTCTTTTCCCCATCGTGTTTGGTTCTATCCTAACTCTCTGGGCTATCTACTCTCTGTTTCTTGGTCATCCAGGCAGTGTCCAGTGTGGGCTCCCTCTTGTGGCAGGGCTCTCAAGTGGAGCCAGTCATTGATCATTCCCACAAGTTCTGCACCACTATTGTCCCAGTTCATCTTTCAGGCAGAACAAATTGTAGGTTGAAGGTTTTGTTGTGGGGTTGATGTCCAAGTTCCAAGCCTTGCCTGGTTACAGAAGACGGTCAGTTCAGGCTCCATATACTCCATTACTACAAGTCTTTGCTAGGGTCAGTCACCCTTGTAAATTCCAGGGAGTTTCCACTGTATTAGGTTTCCACAATGTCCCCCAATTTTAATTTCAGTCTCTTCCAGTACTCCCTCCATCCGTCCCCCACCCCACCTGATCTCTCCTGTTTCCATCCACCAATGAAGTCCATTTCATTTCCTGTTCCCAGGGAGATCCATGTATCCCTACTTGAGCACTCACCTCTCTGGGTCTGGGGATTGTAGTGTGATTATCCTTAACAGCCCATATTCACATATAAGTGAGTACTTATTAGTTTTTCTATCTGGTCTAGGTTATCTCACTCAGAATAATATTTTTCTAGTTCCATTCATTTGCCTGCAAATTTTATGATGTCATTTGTTTAACAGCTGAGCAATACTTCACTGTGTAAATATACCACATTTTCCTTATCCATTCTTCAGTTGAGGGACATCCAGGTTGTTTCCAGTTTCTGACTGTTATTAATAAAGTTGCTATGAACACAGTTGAGCAAGTGTCCTTGTGGTAGGATGGAATGTCCTTTGGGTATATGTCAAAGAGTGATAGAGATGGAAACTGGGAATTGAGGTAGATCAATTTCCAATTTTCTGAGGAACCATCATATTAATTTCTATAGCGGCTATAAAGGTTTGCCCTCCCACCAGCAAAGGAGTAATGTTCCTCTTGCTCCACCTCCTCACCAGCATGAGCTGTCACTTGTGTTACTGATCTTAACCATTCTGACAGGTATGAGATGGAATCTCAAAGTTGTTTTGATTTGAATTTCCCTCATGGTTAAAGATGTTCAACATTTCCCTAAGTGTTCTGTGGCCATTTGAAAATCTATTGAGAATTCTCTAGATCTGTACCTCAGTTTTAATAGGATTATTTAAATTCTTGAGTTCTTGGATTTTATTTTTGATAATTTGGATTTATTTTGGATAATATTTTGAATATTAGCCTTCTGTCAGATGTTGGTGCTGGTGAAAATCTTTTCCCATCTGTAGACTGCTGTTTTGTCTTACTGATGGTATCTTTTGTCTTACAGAAGCTTTTCAGTTTCATGAATTCCCATTTGCTAATTGTTGATCTTAGTGTCTGTGCTACCAGTGTTCTGTTCAGAAAGTTGTCTCAGGTCAATGTGTTCAAGACTATTCCCCACCTCCTCTTCTATCAGGTTCAGTGTATCTGGTTTTAGGTTGAGGTCTTGAGTTTTGTATGGGGTAACAGATGTAAATCTATCTTCTTTCTTCTATGTACAGACATCCACTTAGACCAGTACAATTTGTTGAAGACACACTTTCTTTTTTTTCCACTGTATATTTCCAGCTGTTTTCCAATAAAAAATCAGGTGTCCATAGGTGTATGGATTTGCAGATGGGTTTTTGATTTGATTTTGTTGATCAACATGTCTGTTTTTATGCCAATATCATGCAGTTTTTACTATTATAGCCTTGTAGTACAGTTTGAAATTAGGGATGGTAATGACTCTGGAAGTTATTTTATTGTATAGTATTGTTTTAGCTATCTTGTATTTTTTCTTTTGGGGCAATAATTTGTATGTTCATCTATTTTCTTCACATTATAAATTTACAAAAGAAAGAATGTGTGCTTGGAATTTTATTTGTGTTCCATAAGATAAATAATCTGATAATAAAAAGACAGACACTCAAACCCCAATGAATATTCATTTTATTCTTTTGTGTTAGTTTTTCTTATAGTGTACTGTGAAGAGATTTATGTGTAGGGTAGTTCTTTGAGCCTTGGTTCAATTTAAAGTGACAGATGGGCAAAGAAATCATGAAATATGAAGTTCCAAAACAATGTGGTCTATAATCATGAAATAAAAACAAACTTTATGTGTCTTTTGACAGGGTCTCACGTAACTCAGGCTGGCCTTGAGCTTTCAATGCTGTTAAAGATGACTTTGAACTTCTGGTTTTCCTGTCTCTACATCCCAAGAGCTAGAATCATAGGCATGTGCCATCATCAGTTTAGATTTACATTAAGTATTTTGGGGTTTACCTTTTTATATTTCCCTTTTCCAGAATCTGTAATGGCAAAAATGTATGTGAAATCGAAGGATATAGTAGAGCTGGTCAACACACAATCCTGGATGGACAAAAGTCTGAGTTCTCAAAATGAGATGAAGGAACAGGAGAGAAGGTCAGGCTCTTATGGGATGCTTGGAACCTTAACTGAAGAGCATGACAGTATTGAAGAAGAGGAAGAAGAGGAAGGTGATGGAGAGAAACCTAAAAGAAGAGGTCCCAAGAAAAAGAAGATGACCAAAGCTCGCCTGGAGAGGTTCAGGGCTCGAAGAGTCAAGGCCAATGCTAGAGAGCGGACCCGGATGCATGGCCTGAATGATGCCTTGGATAACCTTAGAAGAGTCATGCCATGCTACTCCAAAACCCAAAAACTTTCCAAGATAGAGACTCTTCGACTGGCAAGGAACTATATCTGGGCCTTGTCTGAAGTCCTAGAGACTGGCCAGACACTTGAAGGGAAGGGATTTGTGGAGATGCTCTGTAAAGGGCTCTCTCAGCCCACAAGCAACCTGGTGGCTGGATGCCTCCAACTGGGATCTCAGTCTGCCCTCTTGGAGAAGCACGAGGAAAAATCTCCAATTTGTGACTCTACTGTCTCTGTCCACAGCTTCAACTATCAGTCTCCAGGGCTCCCCAGCCCTCCTTATGGCCATATGGAAACACATCTTCTCCATTTCAAGCCTCAACCATTTAAGAGTTTGGAAGACTCTTCTTTTGGGAGCCATCCACCTGATTGCAGTACCCCACCTTATGAGGGTCCACTCACACCACCACTGAGCATCAGTGGCAACTTCTCCTTGAAGCAAGGTGGCTCCCCTGACTTGGAAAAATCCTACAGCTTCATGCCACACTATACCTCTGCAAGTCTAAGTTCAGGGCATGCACATTCTACTCCTTTTCAGGCTGGCACTTCCCGCTATGATGCTCCTATAGACATGACCTATGATTCTTTCCCCAACCATGGTATTGGAACTCAGCTTAATACTATCTTCACTGAATAGACCAGTAAGATAAACACCAACACTTCAGAAAATGAGGTGGAGGTATTTTCTATGATTCTAGTGGCTGAGCTAAACCCTCAGAGAATTTAAAAGAACTCTTTGGATATACATCAAACACAATGACCCTAATCCAATCAGAATCTCCTATTCCTGCTAACTTCCTTCTCATTAACGTCTTACATTGCATCAATTCCTGTATTTGGGATTCTCAAGTGAAAATATTTGACAGTTTATATTCACATGGTAATAGTATAGAAAACCAAGGCTCTGCTCCAGTGGTACCAAAGACTCATTGGATGCTATGCCAACTAACTTTCTATTTCTGGTGTTTGTTGCTTTCTGAAAAACATAGTGCAACTATTCTAAGTCAACATATACCTTTCATCTCTCACAAATTTCTTAAACTAAAAAGCAATAAGAGAAAATATCATGAATGGAATGATTAAATGGAACTGGAAGACATCAGGTACATGTCTGTTGACTTATAGAACATGAAATTTGTGTGAATTTGACAGATCTTTATATCTATCTAAACATAAAGTTCAGAGTCTAATATAACAACTTGATTATTAATGTAAATAACCAAGTACATTCTTTAAGAGATTAGTTCTATTTATTGCTGTGCTGAAAGGTATGCACACCATTTTTAGTGATTTCAGAACCATGACAGAAACCTCACACAAACTTTTTCTTCTTTTCCTTTTTAAAAAATTTATCATTTGTGCTTTTGTTTCTTTATTTTGTTTTTACATACCAACTAAAGTTTCCCCTTCCTCCCCTCCTGCCAGTTCCTCCCCTTCTACTTATGCTCGCACATCTACTCCTCTGCCTCTGTTTCTATGAATTTTGTTCTTGATACTATTTAAAAACAACTATCTTAGTCCTAGAAACTGAGCAAGAAAGACACTGAAATATCTGACTTGTGTGGCCAATGGAACACAGAAATATCAGTGAGTGCATTTCCTAGCTTCCATGATTAAAGGGCTATGGGAATTCTGCCAATGTCTAGGTGCTTCTGTTAGAATCAGAACACAGCCAAGTTCACACTGCAGGGTAATAAAGTGGTGGTTGGCTCCCTACCAGCTAAACAAGTTGAGGGACTCTGCCTAACACATAGCCAACAGAAAAACATGATTTTTTTCTCAAATAAGATAAATTTCACTGTTTAAAGGAAAGTGACTAATTCCATGGAGCTCCATTTGCTCCACTATCATACATTCCCAGAACCGCAGTCAATAATCAAGCTTGAATTCTCACAGCACAACCTCACTCCACATCCTCCACTGATTGTTACCCTGTCCTCATTCCTGAGATGTAATATTGCTTTATATTATAGCAGATATTTCAAGAGAAGTGACTTAGAATTGAGAATCAAAATTCAGGGTCAGTGAATGTTTTTATCAGTTTTTATCTTCAACATGGGTTTTGATTAGTCTAATGATTATTTTTCTTTATATGACATCTCTTTACTTTGTATCCACACTGGCTCGGCCAAGTTTCTCTTTTACAGAGAATTCGTTCTGTGAAATTTTACTATTCTGATCTATCTTAACAATTATTTAAGCCCAACCCAAGAATATAAATAGCTTATTTGATAGTGGGTCAGGTACAACTACAGGAATAAATTTGAGCAATTTTAATGACAGATGCATATGCCATTTTATATACCAAACTAAGCATCTTTTTCCTTTTTTGCTTTTATTTATTTATTCACACCATAAGTTATTTTGTGTCCATCTTATTGCAGCACTTAATATGCTCCACTTTGCACCCCTGGCTTATAAATATATTTAAAATTTTGTAGAGAGATCTTAAACTACACCACCACAGCACCCCCCTTACACACATCTTGAAGTTCCCTAGTGTGAATAGGCAAAGGGAGGTGTCTCTAGAGTCATCCACGGTGGGCTTTTTTTTTTTTAGAGTTTAATGTTTGTAGCATTTATGTTTGTAGATAATAATTTCTATCTCCATTATTTATTAGATTCTATTTATTTAACTTATTTATCTTTTTATGCAAAAGTTTGGATCCCATAGATATATCTGCAACTCCGTAAAGCTTCATTGGGAAAGTAGCTTACAAGTTTGGAATGAAAGGAAAGGAAAAAAACAGTTCTTGGTGGCTTGTGATGGTTTTATATAAAGGAGCAATAATTTGAATAGCTATGCAACTTTTTGGTTTTGGATTTTCCCCTGTAAGAGTTAAATTTTTGTTTATGCCTTTGAAGAGTGTAGTACATATGAATCAAGACTGTAGAATTGTGAAGAGAGATTTTATAACTGAATACAATTTTTGAACTGTACTATGTTTGAAAAGAACTCTTTCTTCAAATAATATCCATTCTTCTGAGAACATTTTCAGGTAAAAGTAAGCAGTTGTTAGGTAAAAGCAAGCAGTTGTTTAAAAGAAATGACTATGTTTTCTCTCCTTTTTTCAGTAGTAATAAAGCTTTGGACGTTATTATACATTGTGTTTTACTTGACTGTGTTTCTCTTTGAAGTTTTCATTTAGTGTTTGCATTTATATTTGACAGGCAGCTAGAACAGTAGTTTCAGCCAGAGCAGAAGGTTTCCATATTCCTTCTTCCGTGTGTTCTGCCTGGAAGATTTGGAGGGTCACAATTTAGTCCAAATAAGCATCTCCATCACTCATACAGTAACGATAAAATTTGCAGTTAGGGTGTTAGTTCAGCCACAGAGGGTAGCCCATAGATGGATGGACTAGTATCCTCAATTTAAATGAGCTTGCCTACTTTTGAAAAAAATATGAAGTATGTTTTTGGCAATTGTCTTTTAATATTTTTTGATTTTTAATCTTCTTTTGTTAATATTTTAAGGTTTCTTCTTAAAAGGATACAATTCAAATTCAAAGGATCTAATAATGATGATGATTAATATAAATAAAGTTGGTTAACAAAGGAAAGACTTGAACTTAAATATTTAAGAAACAAATGTACAAAGGAATGTCATCTTCCAGCCTGTCTCTTGTCTGCTGTTCCTGGTCTCCACATAGTCACCATTGTTTTAAATACATTTAGTTAATAGTTACCAGAGATGTTTTATACAAACAGAAGCAAATATTTGGTACATTTATCATAAAATTGATATTATTGTCTCCTCTCCTTTTCTACAGATGTCCTTGTAATGCAGTTTTGTGTATTGGCTTAATATTTTAGCATATATCTTCAGATTTTTTATATTTAAATTATTTTTACTGTGATGTTACAACTGGCTATCATTAAACAATAAAATACTATAATTCATGAAATTAAGATAAAGAGTTTAGGTTGCAATATTGAATGACACGTCATTTGGCAGTTACAAGAGTATCTTTGCTTTGTCATTTTTCCAAGGAGACAATCTTTGGTATGGTACATTCCAGTCTGACCAATTACCACATCCACAACAGAATCTGAGAAAGGAACACTCTCTTGCTTTACAAAATATGAACTTTGTATTGGATATGACCTGTGTATTCTATGAAGAAGATGAGAAGACCCTAGGTTAGTTTATTGTTGCTTGAAAGCACCCACCATTCTTAGTGGTAACATCCATTTTATGATTTAATTTTCATAATTTTGTGATATAAGAAAGATGCTTTACTAGAAAATTAAAGATATGAAAATAAAATATATCAGCAAAGAAATGCCAAAAGTTCAAACTTAGCTCCTTCAGCCTGTGTAATTGAAGGACAGTGTGGTATAGTGATTACATCATAACATTTGATCTTGAATAATAGTACCTCGGATTGCATGCGTGGGCAGTCCATATGCAGCATGGCTGGAAAGATGGCTCAGCAGTTAAGAGCACTGCCTGCTCTTCCAAAGGTCCTGAGTTAAATTCTCAGCAACCAATTGGTGGCTCACAACCATCTGTAATGAAATCTGGTGCCCTCTTGAGGAAGAGACCTGGTCAGTCATCCTCATCAACTTAGACCATGGAACCCAATATGAACAAGTTCAACAGAACCACTATAAATGGGCTGCTCATGCATGCTTCAGCATTGCCAAGGCATAAATTTCAAATTTCATTTTATTTTATCTAGGTTATTTACTGGATAAACAATCTTTGTTCTATTGGCTAACCTTTATAGCATCACATCTCCCATATTTATAAGAAAGATCATGGAAATGCTAATTGTACCATCTTCGTGGGTTATGATGGTGAATTAATTGAGATTTCATATCCAAAGTATTTAGCTCATATTTAATAAGAGATGATTGCCATCATTTGTTATTATTCATTTATTTTTTTATATATTAATGTTAATTTGTCTCTAATACATGTCTGAGGAGTCCAGATGGTGCCTCCTTCAAACATAGAAAGTTCACAGAGTTCCTTAGTTAAGAGTGTTAAATCAGACAGACTTACATCTGAAGCTAACTGGATATGTAGTTTAAGCAGGTTGATTAACATCTCTATCTTAGCTAAGCCAGAGAGCTGATATGATTATTAAAACTGTTAATAATTCCAGAAGAGTATTTTGATCAGTTTCAGGCATGAGGAAAATACCTCTTTTTTTTCCTTTTGTTTTTTCTTTCTCCCTCCCACCCTCCCTCCCTCCCTCTCTTCCTCCCTCCCTCTGTTCTTTCTTTCTTCCTTCCTTCCTTCCTTCCTTCCTTCCTTCCTTCCTTCCTTCCTTCCTTCCTT